AGCCAATGAGCCTATATGGTGTGTTATAAACCAATGAGCCTATATGTGGTGTGTTATAGGCTGTAATGAGCTATATGTGTGTTTTATAGGCTGTGTGAGCTATATGTGGTGTGTGCCGACAATGAGCCTATATGTAGTGTTTTATAAGCTAATGAGCCTATATATGGGGTGTGTTATAGGCTGCAAATGAGCCTATATGTGCTATGTTATAGGCTAGCCAACATTGTGGTGTGTTTAGGCTGTGTGAGCCTATATGTGGTGTGTTATAGGCTGTGTGAGCCTATATGTGGTGTGTTATAGGCTGAATGAGCCTATATGTGGGTGTTATAGCTAACAAAGCCTATATGTGTGTGTTATAGGCCTCAACACCTATATGTGGTGTGTTATAGGCTAGCCAATGAGCCTATATGTGGTGTGTTATAGGCTAATGAGCTATATGTGGTGTGTTATGACTGTAATGAGCCTATATTAGGTGTTATAGGCTAGCAAATGAGCCTATATGTGCTGTGTTATAACTAACGACCCTATATGGTGTGTTATAGGCTAGCCAATAGCCTATATTGGTGTTTCAATAGCTTTGTTATAAATGGCTGCATATATGTGGTGTGTTATAGGCTAGCCAAGAGCCTATATGTGGTGTGTTATAGGCAGCCTATATGTGTGTGTTATAAGCTGTGTGAGCTTGTGTGTTATAGCCTTCAATGAGCCTATATGTAGTGTTATAGGCTGTGCAGCCTATATGTGGGGTGTTATAGGCTGGCTAATGAGCTATATGTGGTGTGTTATAGGCTAGCCAATGAGCCTATATGTGTGTGTTATAGGCTAGCTAACGAGCCTATGTGGTGTGTTATAGGCTAGCCAGAGCTATGAGTGTGTTATAGGCTGGCCAATGAGCCTATATGTGGTGTGTTATAGGCTAGCCAATGACCTATATGTGGTGTTATAGGCTAGCTAACGAGCCTATATGTGGGTGTGTTATAGGCTAGCTAACGAGCCTATGGTGTGTTATAGGCTAGCCAATGAGCCTATGTGGTGTGTTATAGGCTAGCCAATGAGCCCTATGAGGTGTGTTATAGGCTGTGTGAGCCTATATGTGGTGTGTTATAGGCTGTGTGGGCCTATGTGGGGTGTTAGGCTATTGACAGGCCTATATGTGGTGTGTTATAGGCTGCCAATGAGCCTATATGTGGTGTGTTATAGGCTAGCTAATGAGCCTATATGTGGTGTGTTATAGGCTAGCCAATGAGCCTATATGTGGTGTGTTATAGGCTAGCCAATGAGCCTATATGTGGTGTGTTATAGGCTGTGTGAGCCTATATGTGGTGTGTTATAGGCTGAGCCAATGAGCCTATATGTGGTGTGTTATAAGCTATGTGACCTATATGTGTGGTGTGTATAGGCTAGCTGACCCTATATGGTGTGTTATAGGCTAGCCAGAGCCTATATGTGGTGTGTTATAGGCTGTGCACGACCTATATGTGGTGTGTTATAGGCTAATGCAGCCTATATGTGGTGTGTTATAAGACAGGCAATAGAGCCTATATGTGGGGTGTTATAGCTATCAAATGAGCCTATGTGGTGTGTTATAGGCTAGTAACGACCTATATGTGGTGTGTTATAGGCTTGGCCATTTCTATATGGTGTGTTATAGGCTAGCCAATGAGCCTATATTTGGTGTGTTATAGGCTAGCCAATGAGCTATATGTGGTGTGTTATAGGCTAGCTAATGACCCTATATGTGGTGTGTTATAGGCTGCAAATGAGCCTATATGTGGTGTGTTATAGCCAGCTAACGACCCTATATGTGGTGTGTTATAGGCTAGCCAACGAGCCTATATGTGGTGTGTTATAGGCCAGCCAATGAGCCTATGTGGTGTGTTATAGGCCAGCCAATGAGCCTATATGTGGTGTGTTATAGGCTAGCCAATGAGCCTATATGTGGTGTGTTATAGGCCAGCCAATGAGCCTATATGTGGTGTGTTATAGCCAGCCAATGAGCCTATATGTGGTAGGCTAGCCAATGAGCCTATATGTGGTGTGTTATAGGCCAGCCACCTATATGTGGTGTGTTATAGGCCAGCCAATGAGCCTATATGTGGTGTGTTATACAGCCAATGAGCCTATATGTGGTGTGTTATAGGCCAGCCAATGAGCCTATATGTGGTGTGTTATAGGCCAGCCAAAGCCTATATATGTGGTGTGTTATAGGCCAGCCAATGAGCCTATATGTGGTGTGTTATAGGCCAGCCAATGAGCCTATATGTGGTGTGTTATAGGCCAGCCAATGAGCCTATATGTGGTGTGTTATAGGCCAGCCAATGAGCCTATATGTGGTGTGTTATAGGCTAGCCAATGAGCCTATATGTGGTGTGTTATAGGCTAGCTAACGACCCTATATGTGGTGTGTTATAGGCTAGCCAATGAGCCTATATGTGGTGTGTTATAGGCTAGCCAACGAGCCTATATGTGGTGTGTGTTATAGGCTAGCTAATGAGCCTATAAGTGGTGTGTTATAGGCCAGCCAATGGTTTCATATGTGGTGTGTAGGCCAGCCAATGAGCCTATATGGTGTTATAGGCTAGCCAATGAGCCTATATGTGTGTTATAGGCTAGCCAATGAGCCTATATGTGGTGTGTTATGTAGCCAGCCAATGAGCCTATATGTGGTGTTATAGGCTAAATGTGTTTATATGTGGTGTGTTATAGGCTAGCCAATGAGCCTATATGTGGTGTGTTATAGGCCAGCCAATGAGCATATATGGTGTGTTATAGGCTAGCCAACGAGTCTATATATGTGGTGTGTTATAGGCTACCAATGAGCCATATATGTGGGTGTTATAGGCTAGCAAATGAGCCTATATGGTGTAGAGATATAGCTTAACGACCCTATATGTGGTGTGTTATAGGCCAGCCAATGAGCCTATATGTTGTGTTATAGGCCAGCAAATGAGCCTATATGTGGTGTGTTATAGGCTAGCCAACGAGCCTATATGTGGTGTGTTATAGGCCAGCCAATGAGCCTATATGTGGTGTGTTATAGGCCAGCCAATGAGCCTATATGTTGTGTTATAGGCCAGCCTGTTTCCATATGTGGTGTTATAGGCTAGCCACCACTATATGTGGTGTGTTATAGGCCAGCCAATGAGCCTATATGTGGGTGTTATAGGCTAGCCAATGAGCCTATATGTGGGGTGTGTTGGTAGCCAGCCAAATATGTTTCAGAGGGTGTTATAGCTAGCCAACGAGCCTATATGTGGTGTGTTATAGGCCAGCCAACAGCCTATATATGTGGTGTGTTATAGGCCAGCCAATGGCCATATATGTGGTGTGTAGGCAGCCAATGAGCCTATATGTGGTGTGTTATAGCCAGCCAATGAGCCTATATGTGGGTGTGTTATAGGCCAGCCAATGAGCCTATATGTGTGTGTTATAGGCCAGCCAATGAGCCTATATGTGGTGTGTTATGCATGTGATGAGCCTATATGTGGTGTGTTATAGGCTGTGTGAGCCTATATGTGGTGTGTTATGTGAGCCCTATATGTGGTGTGTTATAGGCATGCCAGAGCCTATATGTGGTGTGTTATAGGCTGTGTGAGCCTATATGTGGTGTGTTATAGGCTAGTGAGCCTATATGTGGTGTGTTATAGGCTAGCTAACGACCTATATGTGGTGTGTTATAGGCTACATAACGACCCTATATGTGGTGTGTTATAGGCTTGCCAACGAGCCTATATGTGGTGTTATTCTAGGTGTGTGTTATACTATTTTGTTCTAGTTCAATCATTACCTAATCTAACCTAATCTAATCTAACCTAACCTAATCTAACCTAAACTAACCTAATCTAACCTAAACTAACCTAATCCAACCTAACCTAACCAAATCCCAGCATTATCCTTCACATCACACATGCACCTGCGCAACACAATGAGCACCTGTAGTCATTATGAATACTTGTCAGCCAACTGCGCTCATTAAAAGCACCGAGTTTGCATCCTTGCGCACCTGTGAGATACCTGACATCATCTTGTGCTGTGAATTACCTGACATCATCTTGCGCACCTGTGAGTTACCTGAAGTGCAGACACCCCCAAGCAGCCAGACGGATGGGGGCCAGGCACACAAGCAGCCAGACAGATGGGGCCAGACACCCCAAGCCAGACAGATGGGGCCAGGCACTAGCAGCCAGACAGATGAGCCAGACACCCCAGCAGCCAGACAGTGGGGCAGAACACCCCAGCAGCCAGACAATTAGGAGCCAGACACCCCAAGCAGCCAGACAGATGGGGCCCAGGCACCCCAAGCAGCCAGACAGATGGGAGCCAGACTTTAAGCAGCCAGACAGATGGGGTAGACACACAAGCAGCCAGACAGATGAGGCCAGAGCACCCCAAGCAGCCAGACAGATGGGGAGCCAGACACTGAAAAGCAGCCAGACAGATGGAGCCAGACACCCCCAAGCAGCCAGACAGATGGGAGCCAGACACCCCAAACAGCAGACAGATGGGGTGAGCACCCCAAGCAGCCAGACAGATGGAGCCCGAACAAGCAACCAGACAGATGGAATGGAGCACACAAGCAGCCAGACAGATCGGGCCAGACACCTCAAGCAGCCAGACAGATCCAGAATGAACACACAAGCAGCCAGACAGATCAGGCCAGACGCACTCCAAGCAGCCGAACAGATCCAAATTGAACTTTAAGCAGCCAGACGAGTAGGGGCCAGACACCTCTCAAGCAGCCAGACAGATCAGGCCAGACACCCCAAAGCAGCCAGACAGATGGGGCAGACACTGACAGCCGAACAGATCTGGGGAGCCAGACACCCCAAGCAACCCAGACAGATCCAGGCCAGGCACCCCAAGCAGCCAGACAGATCAGGCCAGACACCCAAAGCAGCCCAGACAGATGAGGGCCAGACACCCAAGCAACCAGACAAGTCAGACCGGAGCACCTCAAGCAGCCAGACAGATCAGGCCAGACACCCCAAGCAGCCAGACAGATGGGGAATGACACTAAGCCAGCAGACAGATCGGAGCCGGGCACCTCTCAAAGCAGCCAGACGGTCAGAGCCAGACACCCCAAGCAGCCAGATTGGTCAGGGGCCAGACACCACAAGCAGCCAGACAGTCGAGGCAGACACCTCCCAAGCAGCCAGACAGATCAGAGCCAGGCACCCCAAGCAGCCAGACAGATCGGGGCAGACACCTCAAGCAGCCAGGCAGATCAGAGGCAGACACCCCAAGCAGCCAGACAGATGGGAGCCCAGGCACCCCAAGCAGCCAGACAGATGAGAGCAGGCACCCCAAGCAGCCAGACAGATGAGGCCAGACACCCCAGCAGCCAGGCAATTCAGGCCAGACACCCAAGCAGCCAGACAGATCGGAGCCAGACACCCCCAAAGCAGCCAGACAGATCAGAGCCAGACACACCAAGCAGCCAAGACAGATCAGACCAGACACCCCCAACAGCCCAAGGCAGATCCAGGCCAGACACCCCAAGCAGCCAGACAGGTCAGAGCCAGACACCCCAGCAGCCAGATGATCCCAGGGCCCAGACACCCCCAGAAAGCAGCCAGACAGATCAGAGCCAGACACCCAAGCAGCCAGACAGATCCAGAGGCAGACGCCCCAAACGGCCAGACAGATCCGGGCCAGGCACCTCAAGCAGCCGAACAGATCAGAAGCCCGGGCACTCAAGCGGCCGGAGCAGGTCAGGCCGAACGCCAGCGGCCAGACGGTCAGGCGGAGCACACAAGCAGCCAGATGGTCAGAAATGAACACACAAAGCAGCCAGACAGATGAAATATCAGATGATCGAACATCAGATAGACAGATGAATGAACACCTGTTTCATTCAGATGGGGCCAGACACCCCAAGCAGCCAGACAGATAGAGGCCAGACACTGGCAATAGACAGATCAGAGCCAGACTTTAAGCAACCCAGACAGATGGAGCCAGACACCTCAAGCAGCCAGACAGATGGGAGGCCAGACACCCCCAAGCAGCCAGACAGGTAGAGGCCAGACACCCCAAGCAGCCAGACAGATGGGGAGCCAGACACCCAAGCAACAGACAGATCAAGGCAGACATCCCCAAGCAGCCAGACGAATTAGACCAGACACTAAGCAGCCAGACAGATCAGAGCCAGACACCTCAAGCAGCCAGACAGATGGGGAGCCAGACACTGAAAAAAAAAAAAGCAGCCAGACAGATCCAGAGCCAAGACACCCCAAGCAGCCAGACAGATAGAGGCCAGACATCCCAAGCAGCCAGACAGATGAGGCCAGACATCCCAAGCAGCCAGACAGATGGGGTAGACATCCCAAGCAGCCAGACAGATCGGGCCAGACACCCAAACAGCCCAGACAGATCGGGGCCAGGCACCCCAAGCAGCCCAGCAGACAGATGGGAGCCGGGCACTGGCAGCCAGACAGATCCCGGAGCCAGGCACTGAAAGCAGCCAGACAGTGGGGGCCAGGGCACCCCAAGCAGCCAGACAGATAGGAGCCAGACACCCCAAGCAGCCAGACAGATGAGGCCAGACACACAAAGCAGCCAAGACAGATGGGGCCAGACACCCCAAAGCAACCCAGACAGATCAGGGCCAGACACCCCAAGCAGCCAGACGGGTAAGAATGGAGCACCCCCAAGCAGCCAGACAGATCAGAGCCAGACACTGAAATGACCAGACAAGACCAGACACCCCAAGCAGCAGACAGACAGACAGATGGGAGCCAGACACCCCAAGCAGCCAGACAGATCAGGGCCAGACACCCAAGCAGCCAGACAGATGGGGCCAGACACCCCAAGCAGCCAGACAGATGGGGAGCCAGACACCCCAAGCAGCCAGACAGATGGGAGCCAGACACCCCAAGCACCACCAACACCCCAAGCAGCAGACAGATGGGAGCCAGACACCCAAGCAGCCAGACAGATCAGAGCCAGACACCCCAAGCAGCCAGACAAACACACCAAGCCAGACAGATGGAGCCAGACACCCCAAGCAGCCAGACAGATCAGACCAGACACCCCAAGCAGCCAAGATGGGCCAGACACCCAGCAGCCAGACAGATGGGAGCCAGACACCTCAAGCAGCCAGACAGATGGGGCAGACACCCCAAGCAGCCAGACAGATGCAGGAGCCAGACACCCAAGCAGCCAGACAGATGGGAGCCAGACACCCAAGCAGCCAGACAGATGGGGGCAGACACCCCAAGCAGCCAGACAGATGGGAGCCAGACACCCCAAGCAGCCAGACAGATGGGAGCCAGGACACACCAAACCTCAAGCAGCCAGACAGATGGGAGCCAGACACCCCAAGCAGCCAGACAGATGGGAGCCAGACACCAGCGAGCCAGACACCCAAGCAGCCAGACAGATCAGAGCCAGACACCCCAAGCAGACAGATGGGGCCAGACACCCAAGCAGCCAGACAGATGGGAGCCAGACACCCCAAGCAGCCAGACAGATGGGAGCCAGACACCCAAGCAGCCAGACAGATGGGAGCCAGACACCCCAAGCAGCCAGACAGATGGGAGCCAGACACCCCAAGCAGCCAGACAGATCAGAGCCAGACACCCCAAGCAGCCAGACAGATGGGAGCCAGACACCCCAAGCAGCCAGACAGATGGGAGCCAGACACCAAGCAGCCAGACAGATAGGCCAGACACAGATCAGGCAGACACCCCAAGCAGCCAGACAGATAGAGCCAGACACCCCAAGCAGCCAGACAGATCGGAGCCAGACACCCCAAGCAGCCAGACAGATGGGAGCCAGACACCCCAAGCAGCCAGACAGATAGAGCCAGACACCTAACAGCCAGACAGATGGGGAGCCAGACACCCCAAAGCAGCCAGACAGATGGGAGCCAGACACCTCAAGCAGCAGACAGAGGAGCAGACACCCCAACAGCCAGACAGATGAGCCAGACACCCCAAGCAGCCAGACAGATGGGAGCCAGACCCCCAAGCAGCCAGACAGATGGGGAGCCAGACACCTCAAGCAGCCAGACAGATGGGAGCCAGACACCCAAGCAGCCAGACAGATGGGAGCCAGACACCTCAAGCAGCCAGACAGATCAGAGCCAGACACCCAAGCAGGACAGATGGGAGCCAGACACCCCAAGCAGCCAGACAGATGGGGCCAGACACCCCAAGCAGCCAGACAGATCGGAGCCAGACACTGACAGCCAGACAGATCGGAGCCAGACACCCCAAGCAGCCAGACAGATCGGAGCCAGACACCCCAAGCAGCCAGACAGATCAGAGCCAGACACCCCAAGCAGCCAGACAGATGGGAGCCAGACACCTCAAGCAGCCAGACAGATCAGAGCCAGACACTAACAGCCAGACAGATGGGAGCCAGACACCTCAAGCAGCCAGACAGATGGGCCAGACACGCACAGACAGATCAGAGCCAGACACCCCAAGCAGCCAGACAGATGGGGCAGACACCCAAGCAGCCAGACAGATGGGAGCCAGACACCTCAAGCAGCCAGACAGATGGGGCCAGACACCCCAAGCAGCCAGACAGATGGGGCCAGACACCTCAAGCAGCCAGACAGATCGAGGCCAGACACCCCAAGCAGCCAGACAGATGGGAGCCAGACACCCCAAGCAGCCAGACAGATGGGGAGCCAGACACCCCAAGCAGCCAGACAGATCGGAGCCAGACACCCCAAGCAGCCAGACAGATCGGAGCCAGACACCCCAAGCAGCCAGACAGATCAGGAGCCAGACACCCCAAGCAGCCAGACAGATCAGAGCCAGACACCCCAAGCAGCCAGACAGATCAGAGCCAGACACCCCAAGCAGCCAGACAGATGGAGCCAGACACCCCAGCACCAGACAGATCAGAGCCAGACACCCCAAGCAGCCAGACAGATGGAGCCAGACACCCCAGCAGCCAGACAGATGGCACACCCAAGCAGCCAGACAGATGGGAGCCAGACACCCCAAGCAGCCAGACAGATCAGAGCCAGACACCCCAAGCAGCCAGACAGTGGGGAGCCAGACACCCCAAGCAGCCAGACAGATGGGGCCAGACACCTCAAGCAGCCAGACAGATGGGAGCCAGAACACCCAAGCAGCCAGACAGATGGGCCAGACACTAACAGCCAGACAGATGGGGCCAGACACCCCAAGCAGCCAGACAGATGGGAGCCAGACACCCCAAGCAGCCAGACAGATGGGAGACACCCCAGCAGCCAGACAGATGGAGCCAGACACCCAAGCAGCCAGACAGATCAGAGCCAGCGGAGCCAGACACCCAACAGCCAGACAGATGGGCCAGACACAGCACCAGACAGACAGACGACCCTAAGCAGCCAGACAGATCAGAGCCAGACACCCCAGCAGCCAGACAGATCGGAGCCAGACACCCCAAGCAGCCAGACAGATGGGAGCCAGACACCCCAACAGCCAGACAGATCAAGGCCAGACACCCCAAGCAGCAGACAGATCGGAGCCAGACACCCAAGCAGCCAGACAGATGAGCGACCAAGCAGGAGCCGTTAGCCAGACAGATGGGAGCTAGACACTCAAGCAGTTAGACAGATGGGAGCCAGACACCTAAGCAGTTAGTAGACAGATGGGAGCCAGACACCCTAAGCAGCCAGGACAGATGGGAGCCAGACACCCTAAGCAGCCAGACAGATGGGAGCCAGACACCCCAAGCAGTTGTGACAGATGGGGACATGACCCCAAGCAAAGCCAGACAGATGGGAGCCAGGACACCAAGCAGCCAGACAGATCAGGAGCTCAGACACCCCAAGCAGCTGACAGATGGAGCCAGACACCCCACAGCCAGACAGATGGGAGCCAGACACCCCAAGCAGGCCAGACAGATCGGAGCCAGACACCCCTAAGCAGCCAGACAGATCGGAGCCAGACACCCAAGCAGCCAGACAGATCGAGCCAGACACCCTCAAGCAGCCAGGACAGGATGGGAGCCAGGACACCCCAAGCAGCCAGACAGATCGGAGCCAGACCCCAAGCAGCTGTGACAGATTGGAGCCAGGACACCCCAAGCAGCCAGACAGATCGGAGCTGTGACACCCTGCACAGCTGTAGACAGACGGGAGCTCAGACACCTCAAGCAGCCAGACAGATCGGAGCCAGACACCCCAAGCAGCCAGGACAGATTGAGAGCCAGACCCCAAGCAGCCAGACAGATCAGAGCCAGACACCCCAAGCAGCCAGGACACAGACCAGAGCCAGACACCCCACAGCCAGACAGATCAGGAGCCAGACACCCAAGCAGCCAGGAGATGGGAGCCAGACACCCTGCAAGCAGCTAGGACAGATCAGAGCCAGGCACCCTAAGCAGCCAGACAGATCAGAGCCAGACACCCCAAGCAGCCAGACAGATCAGGAGAGCCAGACACTTGCTAGCCAGACAGATGGGAGCCAGGACACCCTACAGCCAGACAGATCAGAGCCAGGCACCCTAAGCAGCCAGACAGATCAGAGCCAGAGCACCCCAAGCAAAACCAGACAGATCAGAGCCAGACACCCCAAGCAGCCAGACAGATGGGAGCCAGACACCCTGCTGTGCCAGACAGATGGGAGCCAGACACCCTACAGCCAGACAGATGGGAGCCAGACACCCCAAGCAGCTGTAGACAGACCAGAGCCAGACACCCCAAGCAGCCAGACAGATGGGAGCCAGGACACCCCAAGCAGCCAGACAGATCAGAGCCAGACACCCTCAAAGCAGCCAGACAGATGGGAGCCAGACACCCCAAGCAGCCAGACAGATCGGAGCCAGACACCCCAAG